TGACGAGGATCAATTTTTTACGAATAAGAAACAATCTAATAATATCACACCTTGGGTTAACTGCCCTAAAAGTGCTGGTGGGAAAGAATCAGAAACGTGCGTTGAGCACCCCATGGAGTAAATATTTGTTCATTTTTTCCAATAGTATTTAGACTCGGAAAGGTGCACATAAAGAGGATAAACAAGACTCAAAGGAAGCATTTAGTATATAACCCATAAAAAGCAGACGTTTCAGCTAAATAAAAGGCTACTGTTAAATAATTTTATAATCCATAGGTTGTTTACATCCATAAATAACATTAATACCGTCATACAAGTACGGTTAAGTCATTGATATGCAGTAGAGTAAATATGTAGCCAAGTAGAAAAGGGGTATACAAATTAATGAATATCAATAAATAAGATGAGAATGGTTTAAAATCATGAGAAAAAGATAGCTTATACAATGCTTCTAAAATTGTTTTAAAAAGAATCACACCGATAAACCGTGCTTTAGGATGTAATCCTTGACAAATTTGATGACGTCTTTGACAGGTCGATCAGCATCTGCTAAAAAAAAATGAGGCTTGGCCCAATCAACGCGTTGAAGCCAGTCAGGTAAAATCTTGTGCAATTCGTCTATATGCTCTACTGCAGCATCTATAGGAAATAGGATTAAAATGGTCATATTATGCATTGCGATAAAGAAACATCTAGCAAAAAATAATATGTTGATATCCAATAACGCACTATCATCAATAGTCAAAGATGTGCCTCAAACCGAAGCTAGTTTTTGAGACATATTTACCCTATTTCGTTTAAAGTGATGAAAGACTGGTAGTAGAATTTTACCACAATGTATGGATGTAGCTGACGCTTCCATTGAATGCCAAATAGCCTTGCTTTTCGAAAAGTTGTTCTCACCCAGCAAAGAATATGATATGGGAAAAGGCCTGGCCTTCCTCGTGGCAATGTGGCCGAGTGGTTAACATGTCAAGCTTACATTCTGCACTGTCACGATTCGACTCCCGCTGGAGACCTATGCAAGGTTGAAACTGCAGTCCACTCTAGATGATAATTACTTTTGAGAAAGCAAGGCTATGTGAAATTTGATGGAAACAGCTCTATACATATCATAGTGGGAAAATTTTACTACCAGTCAATCATGACTTTAAACGAAATGTGATGAATACATCTCATATAACTTATTTACTAGTAGTTTCAAAAAATTATTCTTAAGTTGTTTTCTTTTATTGAGTTTACAAAGGATTGCAATTACTTACCAAAAAATCTAAAAAATATGCAAACGAGACTTCTCACAAGTTGTTTGACCTAGGTTTCGCAACTTGCTCGAAGTCCATAGTATGCATGATCATTTCCAGAGTCGGACCGTGGACTTAGTACATTCTCAGAAGTTTCGCCGGCATCGTCAATAAGCCTTGACAGTCTCAGCAACCAAGCTACAACTCATCAGAGACAGGTGAAGTCAATACCTTGAACAGGAAATAGACAGATTAGAGCAGGACCAGCCACTCGAAAATGTGGGGAGCAAGTCAAGCGGCAGGTGTGATGACGCCACGGAAAATTCGCCAAAAGGGCACACTTGTAAAATATAAATGTCAGAAGTTGTGATAGGACGAGGGCGAGACTAGAGGTTAAGAAATAGATAGAGGGACCATGACAGAACTAATAATGATAGCAAAATCGTCTCGACAGAAGTTGGTCAAGGGATTGACTGCATTTGTCCTTATGACGGGTTGCGGCTTGGTTGCTGAGAATGACAAGGCTCATTGGCACTTCCATTTAGATAGGGTTGATGAGATTCTTACAGTTGCATAAGTTAAATGAAATCTATGATATGGAAGGAAATAAGTTAAGTTTATAGATATTAAGTCAAAGCTCCAGCGTGATCTGGCTAGGATTCTGACTCCGGATGATTTTCACAAACTCCAGAGTATGGCCGAAAGGAAATCACGTAGGATCTCTGACTTAATAACAAAAAAACACGACAATAAACTGGTTAGGTATAAAATTATAAGACAACGTGGAGTAAAGCCAGTGCGCCAAGTTAAAAGGGCTTCCCTGCCGACAACACCTACTGAACGATACGATGAAGGGTGAATTTATCTTTGCTTCCCCTTTATCATGAAACCATTACGATTCTAAAGGACTAAACTTTTCTCTTTATAATTGCAAAAATATTCTAGAGGACATTCTCGTGGATGTCATCAATATCACTGAAAAGTTCCCTTAGAAGACAAAACGGGAGATCGAAATAATCCGTAGAATCTTGACACATCTGCACAAGGACATATTTGCGAGGATATGAATAACCCTAGAAAGGAATGAACAATTGGTCCTTCAGGCGGACAAAGAAGGAGCAACAGGTCTAATGGACAGAAAACAATATGCAGAGAAAATGGAATGTATGTTGCAAGACAGGACTACCTATCGTCTAGTAAAGAAGGATCCAACAATGAAGATCAATGGAACTTTACGGGAAATGATGAAAGATATGCATTGGAAAGGGAAGATCAATGCATGGGCAATAAATTCACTAATAAAAAAAGGATGCACGACCACCAACAGCCTACAGATTACCGAAGCTACAAAAAGGAAAACCACTAAGGCTGATAGTTAATAAGTTTGGAGCAACATAAATTAGTCAAGTTCATATGTCTGAAACTTTAAAAGGTAGACGATAGATTGTCAAAACAGTAAGGAACTCATAAAACGGGGTTGATGAAAAAGTCAAGTTCACAATGGATGAAGAGTAAGAGGGGCATTTGCCCTTCCTAGATGTGGAAGCTATTCGCTCTACCGGGACAGTCAAGAGGAAATTATTCCATAAGAACTTATATTCTTAATAATACTCAATTTCGAATCTCATCACAACTACATAATAAAAGTAGGCATACTGAGGAGCATGAGCATCAGAAGCCCACGATTAACGGACGTGGAATTATGGGTTAAAGAATTAGAAAAATTAACTTGGATATTCTTCGATAATGGATATCCGAGAGAAGTAATTCAAGGGAACATACTGGTAGTGAAGAACCGAGGGCAAGTCGGAGATTATGAAAGAAAGATAAAGATGGGAAAAGCCTCACTCTCCCTTCCCGTGAACTAGCTCAAAAACTACGGTCAATATTAAGTAAGTGTAATATTCAAGTGACCACGAAGGAAAAAACAACTCTTTACAAGTCTACTCACGCAGCATGAGACGGTAGATAAATTGGATTGGTCGGGAGTTTACTGCATAGCATGCAGTCTGCGAACAAAAATAAATCAGCCAAACTAGGAGAAAAATCGACATACGAATCAAGGAGCATCAAAGGCTTTGCAGGAAAATGGATACTGAAAGATCAAATATAACGGAACACATCGCAGAGATTGGAGATGAGATCAATCGGAAGGCAACATAAAGTGAAGGCGCAAAGAAACGTAAGATTAGGGAGGCCATTGACATCTTTGGAGGAAAAAAAGTGATGAACAGAAGATTGGAAGAAGGCAGATTCAGTGATAAATTTGCCTATTTCCTAATAAAACTTGGAGAAAATAGGGATGCAACAAGACAATATTAAAAGGAGACGCTTGGATCAATTATCTATCGTAAATCAGGTGGAAATGGATCGGAAGGAAGAAGAGGGTGAAGAAGTTTCGGAAATGAAGTGAAGACGTTTTCAGTAAGAGTAGTCAGAATAAGCAACTACAACTTGGGGGCCCGATATTTAACATGACTAGGGAGAAGGATTGTCACAGAAATCAGGCCTTGTTACCAGATGGGCTAATAGTCCACTTGGGCAGCAGGCGACCAGAAATATATGTCCACAGCTTTCTCGGGGTACACGGGATTAATCTAGAAGATGATGCGTGAAGGTAATGCCTAATATTCACAAGGATGGTAATCAGAGCCTAGGCGCTATGAAGATAAGGCGACTTCGTACATACTACTGAAGGCTTGAGAAATAGCACCTGGAGTAAAAGAACGCTGGGGCTGGAACCGAGTGAAATCGGTCAACCATAAATATAATAAACGGACCTACAGGCCCATGAGGAGACTAGAGCAGGATCAGCCACTCGAAAGGAAGGAGAGCAAGGAAAACAGTGAGTGTGATGACGCCACGGTAAATTCGCCTCTTGTGGAATATAAACATGTCAGAAGTTGTGATAGGACGAGGGTAAGACTAGAGGAACCAGGATAGAACGAGGAGTGATAGTAAAACCGTCTCAACAGAAAGTTGGCCAAGGGATTGTCTTCACTTGTCTCTTGTAGCTTGGCTGCTAAGAATGGCAAGAATCACTGACGATGCCGGCGAAACATCTGGGACGAGGGCGAGACTAGAAGTTAGGAAATAGATCTGTGGGGTGAAATGATAATGATGTTTGAGAATAGTGGAGCATCAAAACAAACTGCATATGAGGAAACAAATCTATTATTTTTCTGCGACCAAACATAAGGCCACACCATCTTGGCCTTCATATCTACGATCTATTGTGTTTCATTTTTAAATAGGCATTTGAGTCTACCATTAGATCATATATGAAATGTATTTACCCCATTTCATTTAAGGTGTTGAAGGACTAGTAGTTGAAGTTTACCACAATGATACGAATAGGCCTCACGTTTCTATTGAATTTCACATAACCTTGCCCCCCCAAAAGATATTCTCATCCTAGGTCAGGTAGAAACTGCAGTCCATTCTGGATGGGAATACCTTTTGGGATGCAAGGCTACGCGAAATTTAATGGAAACGTAAGACTTATTAATATTATTGCGAGAAAATTCAACAAACATACCTTTCTCACCCCAGACGAAATTAAGTGAATACATCTCACAAATTTGGGAGCTAACAATTCCTTCCCATTATTCATGAGTACTCACCTGGTCCGAGGCCACTGCGGCCCTGTGACAGCTTGCTTGATAACGCTGTCAAAGACATTGGTTTACACCCACGGCCGGAGGGGCCCACGGCACCATGCTGGCGTAGCACCATCCAAACTGGCAAAACAAGGTCAGGCAAACGAGAAAGAAGAGCAAGACGCTCCTCTGAGAGTCCTGGTTGTGTCAATGTAGCCAGATTTCGGAGCTTGGCTTCGCGGGCACGTACCTTAAGGCCAGGTAATGTGTAGAGTATTATAAAATTAAAAGAGATGGAAAAAAGTTAATTAAGAAAAACATGAAAAAAGATAAAAATAGATAATGATAGTGAATTGTCAGTAAATTATGATAATAAGACAATAAAATTGATACAAGCGATGGCCAAATGTCTATCTGAGAAGCAAAACAGGAGTTAGAAGGATTCTAAGTGATAGGAAACCAGAAACAGTAGTGGCCAGTAGACGGATAAGGTGATTGAAGTTTTCCAGGGGAATTGGATTATTTAGCCTATCATCCATAAATAAAATTACAACAGAAATAGCCTAAATATGAAACAAAAAGATTTTCTAAGCTAGCGCAAATATAAAATCTATTTCGAAGAATCTCTTGTTGTGCTTCCATTTCGAGTAAAAGTGTTTGGTGAAGAGATTCGAAGGTCGATTACACGAGAAGACAAAGGCGGATTCCTCTTGACCAGTTGTCAATTGACTTTACTGGAATAATTCATGCTGACATTGTCTCCAAGGTAATCTCCTTCGATTCTGGTGAAGGTAAATAGTAAAGGAGCCTGTATAAAAATTTGGAAAACAAACAGGCAATTGAAAATAAGACCGTATATTTTAGTATTTCCTGGTTTTCCCCCCAAGTCCGGCAGTATTTATTTAGCTTGAGTACGATCATGATAGTTCTAATGAGAAAACAATAATGAAATGTATGGAACAATAAAGACAGAATACAAAAATAACGGATATTGACATTATTTATAAGATACGAAATAAAATGCTTTTAATGAATAAGTAAACGATATGTATTAAAGATAACCTGCAAATAAGAAGCGAAATAAAAGTCTATATAAAATACCAAAATATTAAGCTTATTTCCTCGAGAGTTTATAATCATTATTAATTTTAGCATAATTAGTTTAGTGGTGGAACAATTAATTAAGAAAAGTCAATGAAGCAAAAAAATTTAAAAACAAAATAAGAAATCAGTTGCTGAGAAAGCGCCATAAGAATTTGTAAGGCCTATCTATTGTAATAATTGATATTTTGTTTTAAGTAGATTTATGAGACTACACGTAAATCAGTCATATGAACTATGTTCACCCTGGTAGTTGAATTTTTCCATAATGGAATGAGTAGAGCTGATGTTTCCATTGAATTTCACACAGTCTTGCTTTCGCAAAAAAGTGGACTGCGGTTTCGACCTCGACAAGACCTCCAGCGGGAGTCGAAACATGACAATAAGACCTGCAATCTCGACACGTTAACCATTACGCCACATCGTTACAAGGTCATATGAATTTCAAGGAAGGTCAGGCATTTTCCCGTTTCAAATTATGTTGTGGGATTGTCGATAAAGCAAACTTATATTTGATATACCAATTGATGACATTACTTGTATTTCGTTTTGAGTAGGTTTTCAAAACCACCAATAAATAAGATATATGGGCTGTGCTCAACCTATTTCGTTTAAGGTGTTGGAATACTGGTAGTTGAATTTTTCACACAATTATATTAGAAAACTTTTAGGGGAAGAATAGCTACATAAAATTCAATGAAGACGTCATGTCTACTCATGTCATTGTGTGTAAATTTTAATTGCCAGTCTTTCTTCACCTTACATGAAATAGGGTGGCCACAGCTGATTGATATTTTCAATTAAATTAAAGGACGTACAAAGAGCAAAGTAAAGGTCTGATTATCTGACTTTATGTGCAATAATATAGATTCATAAGGTAATATAAAAAAGACATATGCGAAAGAAAGCGAACCCGATCAATCAGTGCTTGAGACAATCCTCGCAAATTTTGGTTGTCTGTTAAAGTAGGAATAGATATAATTGAAGAGGCCGGTGGCTGATTCGTGTTTTTT